CGCGGCACCGCTGCACGGTTGCTTGGGGGTTGGGGAAACTGTAACAAACATTGTAGGTATTTTCAAAATACCTTTTATAAGACAACGCGCAGTGAAATGGGAGGAACTAGAGTTTATTTTGCCATAAGGTAGTATGATTATGCATGACACGAAGTATTTGCTAGTCTAGTACTGAAGAAATTAGCGTTTGGATGCGCATTGTGCGGCTTTAATATATTATATGAATATATATATATGGGGAGAGAGAAGAGAGAGAGATAGAGCGAGAGAGAGGGGGGGAGAGAGAGAGAGAGGGGGGGAGAAAGAGACAGACAGAGAGAGAGATTGAGAGTGATAGCAATAGTCATAGAGAGTTTCAACGAATGTTTTAGTGCCTATACTGTAAAGTTGTAATGTTGTTATTGAGGGTGTGTGTTTTCACATCAGTTCTAGAGGAATATACCTGCCTGTTTATTTATTTTATGAGAAATATCGTAAATCACACTTACATCGTGTACAATTGTTCGTTTCGCGTGCGATTAAAGCACATCCTCGGTTAATGGCGTTTTATGCTATAACAAATGTTTTCTTGCATCATGTGCTTCAAGCCCATGACTCTGCTCTGCCGAGCATCCTCTGGTCGAGCACGGAAGATGCTGCGTTGCCGTCGGCAACCCCCGACACATTCACTCCCTGGATCCTCAACGACTGGGTCATGAAACACTTCGCCCCTACCAGCGGCCAGGCTGCTTCCCACCAGCAGATGGCGCAACCTGCACAGAGGGCCCGCCAGCAGAGGGTGAGAGGTGGGAGGAATGCTGCGGAAACAGGTGTGGGGAGATCATCAGCAAGGAGTGGGATTAGCAGAGGTGAGTCTGGCAGCATGGTCACACTGGCTAAGATTGCATGGAATGTTCACACTATCACTCACAGCATATACGCACTGACTGTTAAGCAGCATCAGGGATTGACCTCCTGTTACATAGTTTAGCATAGCGCTATTTTTGGCAGTAATCAGTAATGATCGAGTTACTATGATGGGAAATCACCGTAAGTGTGTGTGTATATGTTTGTGCGTGCGTGCGTACGTGCGTGTGTGCATGCATGAGTGCATGTGTGCTATGCATGATGGCCCCGGAGGCAATTAAGATGTGTTCATATAGGGTTAGGACTGCAATTACCCAGGTTCCAATAACCATCACCATAACCCTAATTCTAACCCTGATCCTAATCCTATGGCTAATGCGAAGGCCCTCCCGAGCCAGCACATACCTGTGGCACTCAATCTCATGTTACGGGGAGTACGTGATACCATGCACTCACTTGCTAGTGCGATACGTTGCTTGGACACAATGAGAACAGAGAACAGAGAGGCGACAGGCTTCTTGATAACGTAGAAATAGATGCGACGTGGATCAATTTATGATCAGGTGTCGGCAGAAAGAGCGAATTTCCTACTATCTCCGACTCTTCTGTGCTGCGTAAACCACAACTCGCACGACAAGCGCCACCTAGTAGAGAGAAATCGAACAAGGTTCCACACAGACCAGCTCGCGTTGCACAGAAAAAGACCCGTGTAGGGCGACAGACGCCGTCTGGCAGAAAGGACTTATCTAACATTGATGGAGGAGGTAGGTGAAAGAAGCGATGTATAGATGTGCCACTGCTACACCTTTGTGATAACAGTAACGCTATGATATTTATATCTTATAGTAGGATTATAAAGTTTTTGGGGAATTTTTTGAAGGGAGATTGTAATTTCTAGGAAGATTTAAAGAAACATTTAATCTGTTCCTGTATCGTGCGAGAGAGGGCGCCTCATGACAGTATTTCCCGTGCATCTCACCTCCTATAAATCGGAGCAGGATAATTGATTATTCACAACAACCTCATTGTTTGCAGGTATTTTGGAGGAAGTGACGGACGATCACTATAAGGGAGAACCAGCAGAGCGTGGTGGGTCTGGTCTCATGCCTCTGCCGCAGCTGCCCACACGCACGCACGACTGGGAGAACGATCACACGTCGACACGCGACAGGACGCGTCTCCTGCCAACAAATAAACGACTCTACAGGTGGCGCTACCATCTGTCACGATTAACATTAGATAGACGCTGGTATTCGTTTGTTGTGGAAGCCAATCCATAAATATATATTATGAAAACAAGATACACGTGTATAAGCAGTGTTGCATTTAATCCTCTTAATGTCAACCAGTACTTTAAAAGGTTAATGCAAAATCAATCCCGTCTGTGACATATTTACATCTTTAAAAAACGCCACCACGCTTTGATTATCGCTGCTTGTTTCTCTGTTTCCAGGCGAATGTGGATGCAGCCACACTTTGTCATCCTGCGATGCACACACAGGCTGCGGTCAGGGTCGTTCCCTGCACCGCGGCTGGCTACCCACTGCCTGTACCGACATCTGCCTCCCTCAACCTGCGCGGGCCTTGCACCTCCCCGGTCCGCTGCGACCTGCCACCTTTGTAGGGACGGGACAGGACTGTTGGCGTCCTAGCC